CCCCCCCCCCCACCCCCTGAAGCTATAATTCCAACCAACTTCTTCATATAAAATAGTTAATACTGTTTCATTTCACTCAACGCAATTAGCTTTTAGTTATTCTGAGTGAATCTAACTAATTTTCTGTTTCAATCGTCTTTTTTTTGTAACCAAGAGTTTGTATAGTTTGGTAGTAAAGTGTATGCTGTATTGAAATCTCCTAACCGAAGAGAAAAGATGACATTCCAAAACATGGGCTTCGAAGATTACATGAAAGGGATAATTGATAGTTCCCTTAGGAAAATTTCACAGAAAAAAATCTTGGGAAATGCTGTTATCAAGATGACATATAAATGGAAAATTCCCATCGAAAGATTTCTACGGATATTTTCCCTGTAAAATTCGAAAGAAAGTCCATGAAAAATCCCCATGTAATACTTCATGGAAATTTTAAGTTTAATCACATATAAGACATGGCTCGTCAAAAATCCTAGTTTCTCGATAAAAACGCGCATTTCGTCTTTAATAAATTCAGTGAAGGGTATTTCCTTGGTTCTCTCCACTTATGTAGCCTAAGTTAATAATCTCCTCGATATTTCAATGAATCTATAAAGTATATACGTTCCAAAACCTCTTTCCCAGGATAGTACCATAGTTTCTAAATTAAATGTCGGTTCTCTAAGATAGAGTTATAAATAAGCCCTTCTAGCATTTATTGGAGGCATAGTACTAGGTTAAGCTCTCGTGGTTAAATATATTTCTGTCCGAAATGATATACAAAAGCCCTTGCTAATAAACTCCAAGGCTAAAAAATGCAGGAAAAACTAAATGTCGGGTCTACGTACAAGACCAAGTTTGAAATGAACGCCACACGGCGTTTAACCGAGAAAATACGGTAAGTAAAAAGTAATGAAAAGATTGAGGGAAAATGGAAACACTAGTTGCGATGATGTGATAAAAATGATGGCAGATAGACAGACAGACAGACCCTAAATATACTACACTACCCCCGTGTAGAACTACGAAGTGCACGAAAGGGCATAAATGAAATATATAAAAAGAAAGAGATATTCACAAGCAATTATGTTGCAAAGAAACCCAAAAAGGTCTCAATGGGAGATCATAGAAATTAAATCCTTTTTACAGGCCTCTTGTGCAACTGCTGTTATTGTAAAGGTGTGAAGATCTCTTTCTCTTGTCATTTCACTTTACTTCACTGGTATCTTCTCCCCCATGTATGGCTCCTGTCTCAAAACATCCATGATTTTGGTTCGAAGAGCATGAATTCCATCATCACTAGCAACATCAGTGTCACTCCCCTGCCCTGAAAATTACAAATAGTAACAAGACACTCAGCTGTAGAACACCCAAACAAAGTTACTCGTAACATCCACTCTGATCCTAGGCGAATGGCAGTTGTTACAGACAAGCTCTTATCACCTGTGTCTTCTCTGTACACGTTTGTGATTTGTGCTTATTTCCGCCACAATTCGAGAGCATGATTCAGGAAAGATGGTGTTAAACGTTTACAAACAATATACTCTAAATGGTCCTTACACCGAAGACCCAGCCATGAACCTTTTGAGGTATCTTAGGAAGAGGGTGTTAACAATGTAAATCTTTCCAAGGCTATCTTTATCGCAATATATAATCTCGATGTATTAAAACTGTTCCCTCCATACAAAACAAGTCAATTCTATGAAAGGCATCGCCAGTATTTGATAACATCCTGCAGGTTTTACCGATTTCCTTTACTGATGGCTTTTATACTTAAACCAAATGCAGACTTGAACCTATGTGAATTTTTTTTTGGCTGAATCAGTGGTCCAGCAAAAAAAAAAGATCGTTTACCTGTAAACCATTTCTTGATCTTGCGTAGCAATGACTTCTTGCCCAGAGTGTTGTCAATGCTGAAGAATGGCCGGATAACATGCTTCTCGTATTCCTTACCAGACATTCCCTGCTGTATTTTTGATGTCGCAGCCTCGATATCCTCAACTGGTTTATCAGCATGAGTGCCAACAATAAACACTGGAGGTCGGAGATATGGCAGCATGCCGCCTGAGTTGCCAACCATTTCCTCTCCTGTTGGTCTGATACTGTGGATTGTTACCAGCCATGACAGCAGATTCTCCAGATTTGTTTCGTTGTTTGGGTTTTCCAAAGATTTATCACGTGTTCCTTGTCGAACACAGGGCTGGGCTGGGGAGTCTAGTGCCTTGCTGAGGTTGTGCACCAGGACATACACTCCACGTGATGACAAGAACACAGGGTGAGAAGCGTAGTACAGGTGCTGTCCGGCAAAATCCCACAAATCTACAGTAACTATGGTTTCTCTCTTGTCATCAGCATTTTCAGCGTCACCATGCACGCCTTTAAGCATGTTCCTCAACCGCAGATACGCATGTCTTGTGACGTCATCTGGAGGCGAGGTTGCATGCATCATTAATGTTGAATTTTTACTTGAACTTACACTGCTGTCATCTGGCAGGTCATCAACGGTATTCTTTGTTACAGCTTCCACTCGCATTTCACTCTCTGGCGGGGAAGTGGTTGAATTCTTGAGATTGAGTTGTTGAGAGTTCTTGCCAACATTTTCAGGAACCTAAAATGGAATTTTTAAAAGAGGTAACATTTTCGTTTCATCAGGACCTGCTTATTCCAGTATCTATAATTATATCTGAGAAATAGTGTAGGAGTACTGAAAAACAGATTTCACATTTTTGCCCACAAGGACTGAACTTTGCATAATAAATGAGTCACCCTTATCTATCTAATCTGACTACAATTCGATCAAAGCCCAAATATTATGTATACTACCTCCTTTTTTATGTACCGTAATCCTATTTTTAAAAAATGCCCAGTTTTATGCTCTTAGAAGATAGGCACACGAGTCTCAACCTATGGCGCCCTACAAAAGTTCAACCATGCTATGTTGCCTGGGTGTGGAATCAAAGTAAGTCGTAAATAGTCAAACAGGAGGTTGCTATCAGTACTGTCTGGGACGTTATTCTTGGCCCGCCAGTGTTACTCAGTACTGTTATACACTGATCACTCCTTAACCTCTTACATGTAGACACTAATGACCTCCTGCCACCAAAACGAGTTTATAAATTGTCGTTTTCAATTACCATCGACCATACCATTCACTTTTAAACTAGAGTAGCTCCAGACTTGAACGTACAAACCTGATTCATGTCGGAGCTGTTTGTGCCCACCTCCACGGTTGACTCTTCTCCTGTCAGTTCTAGCTTTGATTCCATTCCCGTATCTTCCTTTATTTCACTGAATATCCAATGGTGTTGTTTTTCAACGAACATTCTTGATATGTCTTTAGAACATGCCGCCAGACTTAGCATACTCTCGCTTGTGGAATTCCAGTTTTTTACTTGATCGACTTCAATCTCGAAGACCGAAGGATCAACTTCAATTCCCTCAGTGCTCTGTTCTTTAGGGTTAAATGGCAAGCCTAAGAGAGACTTCTTCAAACTTGTTTTGCCAGCACGATCCTGACCAACCAATAACACTCTACCACGGTAAACATTCACGGATCCCTCCTTCAGCGCTTTTTCATAGAGCAGCTTTGCAACTCCTCCTTGCGCTTGTATTTCTACAGGAACTGTAGGTGTAATTGTCAGGAAATGCAGTGATTTTTGTGGGCTTATTTATTACGCATGCGTGTTTGTGGGCTTATGCATTATGCGTGCATAAGGAAGACGAGGAGGAGGGGGAGGGGGAGGAGGAGGAGGAGGAGGAGGAGGAGGAGGAAGAGAAAATGCCCACGCCAGGATTCGCACCGCCGACCCTTTCATCCAACTTCCGATTCCCTGACTGAATCCTACCCGCTGCGCCACCCTGTCATAATTAATTGATTGTGAGGGAATACATTTATTAATTCATCACAGCACATCGGAACGCTAACGCTGCCTTTCGGTAAATGTTTAGGTAAAGAAAAAAAAACAAAGAAGTAAAGGAGAAAAAAGAAGAAAATAAGTAAAGAGAGTTGAACTCATAGCCTCCTGCTCACAAGGCAGATATGGTCTCCACTGCGCCACACTGACAACTGTAATATTGTGGAGAAAATATTCAGTTAATTGGTTTTTACCGAAGCTCTGGGCAGTTAAAAAAGCAGGCTCAAGTACGTTCCTAGCACGAACCTCATTTATTCTTGTACTTTTATCTTTCTAGTAATTGCCTACTCGTAAGACTACAATACTTCAACCCAAGAAATAAAACTAGCTATAAGCCCACAACTACGCATTGCAGACCTATTTTTCTGATTGCGAAGGCTCTATATCAGGGAATAATTTTAAATTGGTTGTTGTTGCATAGTTCAATCACAGAGGTTTGCAAGTGACCGTAAAGTAACAAATTAGCACAATCTGCGATCTTGATCGCGTATCTCGTTCGCTTCCACGTTGGACAAAAAAAACTTAATAATAAATGATCCATAAGCATATATTGTAAAATTCTAACACAGCTTCAAGGCTTAGGGGAATGAGATAAAATTAAAGAAATAACATTGAGGTTGAGGCATGAATAAACGGTGTCTTTTGTTTTAGTCAGGTTTATAAGAATTGACTCACTACCACTAACTTTAAGAAGTAAGCAGCTATACCAGTTACATAGCTAGACCATGATGCACCAGTGCATGGCATAAGGTAAATGGTCATGTTTAATGCTAACCTGCAATGTCTATTGACATCCTTTGTGGTTTCAAATCCATTAATATCACGAGACTTCCGATTTCTTCAAACGTCAAGGGGTTACCTGTCACGGAGAGCTTTTTAAGATGATTTAAGTCCACGATATATTTACAGAGTTTTTGCATTTTGTTGTTCCTCAATTCCAGCTCTTCTAGTTTTTCAAGATTTTTCATATTTGCCGGTAATGTTGTGAGTTGATTGTCATTCATAAACAAGTGCGTCAGGTTGATCAGGGTGAGAACATCTTCAGGGAACTGTGTTAGCTTGTTGTGGTTCAAATTCAGCTTTGTAAGGTTTGACAGGTTTCTTGTACTACGTGGTAACTTTGCGAGCTCATTGTGTGAAAGGTTCAGTATTTCCACCTCCGTTAACAGTTCTGTGATAGCGTCTGAAATCCTTAGCAATCTCTTCCCTTCCAGATTTAAAGCCTTGCTTTTTATACGAATTGTCTCCTTTAAAGTACGTTCGATCTCCAACTGGTTCACTACAAAAAAAATAAGAATAATTCGTCATTCAGTTGTTTTAGATAAAGATTCCTCTTGTCAATTTAGGACTCAGCGGTCTCTGATGTACAGTATCAAAACTGCAAAACCGAAACGTGCGTTGTCAATTATGCCTCAGTACTATTTAAATCTTTACTGGACACGAGGAAACCATGTCAGCGGTTTAACCTTAAGAAGCAGAATATTAAAAGCAACTGAGCGACACCAGCAATGTGGTGTTCGTCAAAGATATGGAACACTTTATTGCCTATTTGTATTTCAACGATCCAGGACACGTACTAGACTTTACAACGCTTTTCACATCAGGGCCTTACAACAATGACTCCTCATCATCAATCCATAGAATATTTGAAGGAATTGGAGAAATGGTACAAGCAAAGACGTCTTAGAAGACTTTGTTGAGGTTAAGGACACAGGAAAAGGATAGGTTTAACACTACTCTAGGAGTGGGCAGGAATTTTGCTAACTCACAAAAGAACTGGGGCCCAGACATACGAGTGGTACAACTTTAACAGTCACAGGCTAGGCTGTAATAATTTAATAATAATTTACCAATTTATATAGCGCGTATTTACATATTCTGATCAATAGCGCTTACTGATATTGTACTCATATTTTAAAATTTGGCTGGTGACATACCATGCATACAGTGGCTGCGTCCGCAGTACGAGCGGCAGTCAAACACAAGCTGCCCTTATAATAGTCTTTTTCTTCGCAGTTAACAAAAATAGAGAGAATGCTAAAGTTGCTTTGGCTTCTTCTCCAACCTCTGAGTATCAGTATATCCCAAAATTGACCATTTTTCAAAAAAAATGTTTTTTGCTTTTTCAGATAGATCTTATTGCGATTTTTCATTTAAAAAAAAAATTCTATGAAAACGATTGACCATAAGCAAATTTATAAACAAAAAAAAGTTTCTTTGCATTAATTACCT